GTATAACCCGTCTTCGACCGGGTCTTTCATTGCTGGGAATTTTTGCCGTTGAATTGGAGCAGTTTAAGTTTAAAGTCATCCCACCCGAAAATCAATATCAGTAACAAGAATTGAGTGCAATTGAGGCACATCCCCAAATGGGGGGGGGTAACAATTTGAAGGGAGGGTGGCTCTTTTTGCGTTTTCAATCTTGCATGGAAAGAACCTCTTCCATGGGCCGTTAAGGCGGAAGGAGAGAATGTCGGGGGTGGGAGATGTTTCTTCCGGATGTAGATGCATTTTGTATTGTTATTCAATGTGCTGGAAATGATGCTATTTCAAGAGAGAGACGATGCGGTTGGAGGTGGCCTGTGGAAGGAAAGACAGAGGCATTAATTAACATAAGGAAAACGAATATTTAGATGAAAGCAAGGAAAGTCACTTTATGCAGCAACCCGTCATGAATCCTGAAGCACTTCGCTGTAGACGACGTTGCATGTTTTCGCGCTGGGGAGCGTGAGGTAGAATGGTGCCTAAATTGATGTCTTGCACCTGTAAAACTTATTTTAGGTTCGCTACAATTGAGTGGCTGTTTCACAGGAAAAATGACGAAAATAGGATGTCGACTGACAAAAGTTATCTTTCATCAACCACCCCATCCAAAAATGTTATTTTGCATGCCCGTTGCCTCGTAGAGCCGGACATTGATCACCTCTTCAAATGCTACATGACCGTCTCTTCGTTGCGCATCTTTTGCGTTAGATTTCGACTCTCTTGATTGTACGCTGTTTTTTTTACAGACATTAAATTTTGGCTTTGATTTTGGCGCAAAGTGTAAAAAAATCAGTTTTTTTGTTTTTTTTTCGATTTTTCACCTTCAAGGTTGTAAATTTTTCCAGCCAATTTGGACTCAAAACCGGCACTGAAGAATTATCTATCAAACAACAAAAAACTCCATCGAAATCGGATGAAAACTGTGGAAACACATAAACAACATCCGATCACACACACACACACACACACACACACACACACACACACACACACACACACACACACACACAGAATTATAGATATAGAAGTAGGGAAGATAAACTGTTCAAGTTAGAGTTAGTGATCAGGGGAAACATCCTCTTGGGAGTCGGTTCCACAGAACAGTGGAACATTGGTTAGCGAGAAGATTGTTGGTTTGTTTTTGTTTTACGGCATTTCAACCTCAATAAGTTATTTAATGCCGACAAGATTTTTATTGCTGGTAATATTTTGTTTTTCAAAAAATGTATTGCTGGTAATTTTTTTTTTCCCAAAAATATATTGCTGGTAATTTTTTCCCCAAAAATATACTGCTGGTAATTTTTTCCCTAAAAATATACTGCTGGTAATTTTTTCCCTAAAAATATACTGCTGATATTAAAATCTATTTTTACACTTTCATAGTGTTTTGATTTCAGTTTAGGGGGTTAACTACTTGCCCATAACTGGGACCCTAACCGGTACCACGATCCAGAGGCAATGTGGATCAGGGAACATCAACAATTAAGAGTTGGTTCCACACTTACGAAAACCTCCTGATCAGAGGCCTTGCTGACAGATTTAGTTTATCGTTATACCCAGGACGCCTCGATGGAGGGAGAAGGCCCCTCTGCAGAGGTGCAGTCAGCATATTCTGAAGCCCAAGCCGACAAGGCGCTAGCGGAAAGAACCTTTTAGAGTAGAACTTAATTCTAATCGACGGTAACGTTAAAGCCTCATTTATTAGTGAAATCTTTTAATACTATTAGAGAAAGCAGTAAGCCAATATAGTGACACTGGTGTACAACTATAAACAATACACCAATCATTTTTTTTACAGTAAGGTTCAACCTGTAGAAGGCCTAGGGGCCACTCTAGGTAGAGGGTTAAGGGGTAGTTTATACGGATAAGAAGGGAAGGTAAAGTGTTCAAGTCTAGAGATAACCGTTAAGATTGTAGTGATCGAGGAAACATCCTCTTGGGAGTCAGTTCCACAGAACAGTGGAACAGCGGTTAGCGGGAAGATTGTTGGTTTGTTTTTGTTTTACGGCATATCAACTTCAATGAGTTATTTAATAACGACAAGATTTTTATTGCTGGTAATTTTTTTTTCCCTAAAAATGTATTGCTGGTAATTTTTTCCCCCAAAACATACTCCTGGTAATTATTTTCACAAAAATATATTGCTGGTAATTTTTTCCCTAAAAATATATTGCTGGTAATTTTTTTCACAAAGAATATACTGCTGGTAATTTTTTTCATAAAGAATATATTGCTGGTAATTTTTTTCACAAAGAATATATTGCTGGTAATTTTTTTTCACAAAAATGTATTTCTGAGATTAAAACCTATTTTTACACTTTCATATTGTTTTGACTCCAGTTTAGGGGGTTAACTATTTGCCCATAACTGGGACTCTAACAGGTACTACGATACAGAGGCAATATGGACCAGGGAACATCAACAATTAAGAGTTGGTTCCACACTTATCAAAACGTCCTGATCAGAGGCCTTGCTGACGGATTTAGTTTATCGTCATACCCAGGACGCCTCATTGGGGGGTGTAATGCCCTACTGCAGAGGTGTATTGATGGTAATTTTTTCACAAAAATGTATTGCTGGTATTAAAACCTATTTTTACACTTTCATAGTGTTTTCACTCCACTTCAGGCGGGGTTAACAATTTCCCTTGTAAGCTATTTGCAATGCATTCCTATTAGCATAATAGTAAATATTTTTTTTGGTTCCATTAACTTTCACAGAGAAAGCGAAAGGCAAGATCCAACTCAGAGTTATAGCAGAGCAGAGCAGACTCTAGCCATGTTTAAAAAACCAGTCGAGTAGAAAGAAAATAAACACTGAATTGAGAATCGTTTGTAAATCTAGCGAAAAATTATGCGCAGCGGGGTTCACAATGGCAATATGGCCCTTGTCGATACCGTTGCCAGTACCTCCTGTTCTCAGTGTCTTGTGAATGTTAGATTCTCCAAGCCCGCTTTCCTTGTTAAGTGTCCCAGAAATGCCAACTCTTTCTTTTTAATTTTAAGCATAAGTTTTCTTAAAATCTTTTATTTACTTATTCAGACCATGGTAGTCTCAGCAACCATTCGTAGAACTACAACGCTTCGAGGACCTTCTACATCTGTGTAGATAATACCCAATTTTCACTGCCATTTACTAGATCAGATATGACAGCAGTTGTCCCTACATTTTTCTGTAAATACAATTCGAAACGTGATCTTTAATGAAATGTGCGGACACGTCTTGAAACTTCTTTTTCTTTTTTTTTTTTTTTGCAGGAAGACCGAAAATTAGGACTGATACCTTTCTTCGTAAGTAAAATATTTTCTTTTTGAATTCTATAACTAGCTAGCAGCCATACCCAGCTGGTCGATCAGAAAAAGCTTTCAATTAGAATGGAGCAAAAACAGCATCAAGTTTAGATGTAACAGTCTATCTTCTTCAATTACTTTAAAGTACTTTCATTAAAAAAACAAAAACATTTTGAATTAATGTAGTTACTAATATAACAGAAGTAGTCTGCATTTATTCAATCGAAGTTAGCCGCGGACATGAAGGGGTAAAACAGGTAACATGAAAACCCACTTCAGACCACAATTATTTTGGAGTTTTTGAAATTCAATTTGTCATTATGCTACCAGGGATGTAAATTTATAAAGCAATTGTTAAGTTTGATGAAAAGTGGTTGAAGATTAACGAAAAATCATTTTATATATAAAAAAGGCGTTTACGTTGTATTCGTCATGTAATTTTATTACAATTATCTTTTCCTTATCAAAATTCCCAAACAAAATTCCATAAATGTGTCAACACCTGATAAAAACACCCACCTCCGAGTAAAAAAAAAATGCTTTTCTGCGATATTATAAAACTAAAAGTAACTAATATTTGTTTAAATTCCGATTAATTTAATTTTAAAGCAGCTAAATTTTATTAAGTAAGGTTTCGAAAAAATATATTTAATTTTTTGAAGATTTTTTAACAATGAAATTTACATTGTAAATGACAGATTTGTCAATTTGGAGCATTTTAGAGATTTTACCGATAATCAGAAAAGAAACCGAAAAAAGTGCGAGAGAAGAAACTATTAGCATAGAACTTACGGTTATGTCTAGCCATTTCAATTGTAAAATGAGGAGAACTTGTCTCCAATCTAGACTATCACCCGGTTCACACTCCTCTCTGGTCTTTTGAACAGGGGTAGTGGTTTATCGCTTGTTTCTTGTTTAGTATTGGATTTCCGGTTCTTTTTAAAGTCAACTCCAACTCTACATTTCGAACATCTCCTGTTATAGTGGAACACACCTATTCTATAGTTAACTATTGACTCCCCCACCTATAATAAGTAGGAGTAGCAGTAGCAGTCGCTGAGAGAGTTGGTCAGTCAGTCGATGTCGGACGACCGTTAGTCGGATATTAAAGTATCAGCCACCACAACTAGATTACTGCGTTCATCTAAAATATTATTACAGTTAGATTTACGTTAAGATTACTCGAACACAGTGGCGTTCCATATCACGTGACGTCCGCATCTCGCGACGGACGCTACTTGTAAACAAACAGTTATTTCTGAAGAAAGATTGAGGTCAATCTGAAATATCAAATATATATATATAAATAAATACTTTCAAAAAAAACATTATTTTTTTAATTTGCAACATTTTATATATATATATATATATATATATATATATATATATATATATATATATATATATATATATCCATCCATCTACATTGAAAGCCTGTTTCGCTGTATCACAGCTTACCAGCGTGGCTCGATATCCGATTTAATTTTTCTTTATTTGTAATTATTATATTTATTTTTATAGCCACTTATGTCACTTCCCCAAACTTTATCCATCTAGGTATGTGCGACTGTTGGAACCACTGCCGTGTGTTCGTTTGATGATATTGCCGAGATTGCTGAGGTGTGTAGCAAAGAGGACCTCTGGCTTCACGTGGACAGTGCATACGCAGGCAACGCCATGATATGCCCCGAATTCCAGCACCTTTTAAAAGGCATTGAGGTACGTTAAAAAAAAAAAAAGACAAAAATTTGAAAGCGTGAAGTGTTTTTATATTTTAGGTTGAATTTGATTTTATTTACACTGTTTAGTGTTTTCCTAATCTTTGTTGCCATATTCACGAAGTTTCGTCTGTTGTACACTCCGGCCTTCTTTAGGTGATATACGTATATCACCTGAAGAAGGGCAATCATTACCGCCCTCCATAAAAGGACATATACTTACCCGTTCATATCTATCTATCTATCTATCTATCTATCTATCTATCTATCTATCTATATTATCTATCTATCTATCTATCTATCTCAATTTATTTATATCTATCTATGTATATATCACAGTCTGTTCATATCTATCTATCTCTCTATCTCAACCAATTAATATCTCTCCCCCTCTCTCTCTCTCTCTCTCTCTCTCTCTCTCTCTCTATATATATATATATATATACAGAATGCGATGGGAAAATTGTCGCCATTTGATATGTTTAATTTTGACGCATGCGCCTTGTTGACTTGATTTTGTCGACTGCTCTGTATAGTAGCGTCAACTAGGAACCGTCTGTGAGAAGAAAAGATAACCATGACGCAATTCACTCTGCCAGAAATTCGGAAATGGCATGCTGTACTGCTTGGCATTCGCACTGGAAACGCCAATATGAACAGTTCAGTGTTTGGGTGCCAATCCGAGGACAGGGCGGAGGATTCGGAAAGAGTTGAATGAATCTAATGGTGATTACGGCAGTTCGGAAAACTCACTCTGATCGTTCTGATAAGAAAAGAATTCTCGAATTTGTTGGCGAGCGCCTTAAACTCAACACGGGGGACTACATTAAGTGCGCTGAGGAGGTAGTGCTGCCCTGAGTCAAGAAAGTGGCTGTTGGAAACTCTATGTCTGGCAACAGAACTTTGCACCATGCCACACAAGCAGGAAATCACAGTGATGGCTATCAAACAATTTCTGCGACCACATCACACTTTACGTCTGGCAATCTAACTCTCCAGGTTACAAAACCCTTGATTATTATGTGAGAGACGTTGTTGACCGAGAGACCAACGTGAACTGAAGGCAAGAATCATGGCAGCATTCACCAACATAAACAAGGTGAGAGTTGCAGGAGATGCCGAAGTCGTCTGGAGGCCGTGGTTGAAAACAATCGTGATTTTATTGAATAAATATATTCTTTAGCATTTCAAGATATTTTTTGTGTAATTTTGATAAATATATATTAAAACGAGATATTAATCTCGTTTTAATATATATGTGTTTGTTTTTTTTTCTCGTGATTTTTTTTTTCATTTTTGCGTCAATTAGACGACAATTTATCCATCGCAGTGGTACGGTATGGGTAGAAGGTCTATTTAGACGATAATTTATCCATCGCACTCTGCATGCTGGTCAGTGGTACAGTATGGGTAGAAGGTCTATTTATACGAAAATGTATCCATCGCACCCTGCGTGCTGGTCAGTGATGCAGTATGGGTAGAAGGTGTATTTAGACGACAAATTATCCATCGCACCCTGTGTGCTGGTCAGGGGTACAGTATGGGTAGAAGGTCTATTTAGACGACACTTTATCCATCGCACCCTGTGTGTGCCATTTGTATATTTTTATTACATTATTTCTCGTAATTATTAACGTTATAAACAACGCTACACTTCCCCGTTATTTGATATTTCAAACTGGATGCTAAGTTCCTTAATCTTTAAGAACGAGTGGATAATCCTGTCGCTTTTGTCGTACTCAACAGATTTAAATCTGTTATCGGCTTCTCTATAAAAAAAATGGCCGATTCTTCGTATATCGCTTTAAAAGAAAACTACACTGTTAATCATCTTTGGGAACGCTAAACTATAAACGACAACAGATTAAAAGGTAATTGTCTTTTTTGCTTAAAGCACAGGTTTCACACAAGCAGATTTAAATATACAAAGTCATGTTTTAAAAATAAACAATTATTTCAGCAGACTTCTATATTATTTTTCTATTTTCAAATTTCATGACTGGGTTTTGCTATATTTAAGGTTGGGTTTATATTCGGGGTTTGTGGATATATTCTGGGCTGAATTTATATTCGGGGTTGTGGATATATTCTGGACTGAATATATATTCGAGGTTGTGGATATATTCTGGGCTGAATTTATATTCGGTGTTGTGGATGTATTCTGGACTGAGTTTATATTTGAGGTTGTGGATATATTCTGGACTGAATTTATATTCGGGGTTGTGGATATATTCTGGACTGAATTTATATTCGAGGTTGTGGATATATTCTGGGTTGAATTTATATTCGTGGTTGTGGATATATTCTGGACTGAATTCTTATTCGGGATTGTGGATATATTCTGGGCTGAATTTATATAATCATTATCGGTCCCTCTAAAAAAAGAAAGAAAGATTCTTCATAAATTCCTTTAAATGAGAACTGTACCGTTAAACATCTTTGGGAACGCTAAACCATAAATGGCAATTATTAAGAGGTAATTTTATTCTTTGCCAAAGCAAATCAAACACAGGTTTAAAACAGGCAGACTTAAATATGCAATCAAATGTCTTAAAAATAAGTGCTTATGTTAGGAAACTGTATTATTTACTTATTATTATATATTTTTTTCAATTTTCCTTATTGAAATATACAGTACGCCCCAGAGTTTTCGCTATTTTACAAGTACATTGAGAAAAATTGTTTTTGATAAAAGATGTCATCGCGAGTACGTGTGTACACTAAAAATAACGTTTTGAAGTAATTAAAGTAATTAGTATTGTGTATATTCGTTGATTTCCAACTTTAAAATTTCTATGTTGTCCAGCCTTAGAAGTGCTCTGAGCAGTTAATTTTGATACTGTTTTTATATTTGTTCCATTAACATAATTTCTATCATTATTAATTACAGTATGCCAATTCCATCAATTTTAACCCAAACAAATGGATGCTAATCAACCATGATTGTTCGCTTTTATGGTAAGTATAATACATATTTTCACTAATCATAATTTAGTTAACAATAAAAAAGAATATATCAATAATCACTTAGCATTGCAGATTAAAAATAAATTTGTTAGTATATATATATATATATATATATATATATATATATATATATATATATATATATATATATGTGTGTGTGTGTGTGTGGTAATTATAGTAGCGATTAGTCCGTGAGTAATCTATTAAAAAAAAAAAATGCCGTAGGAATAGTAACAAAATTGGGTAATAAGGGTGATCCCATGGAAACTGTATAACCAACAATTGATATAATGTACAAACCAAATACTTTCCTGAAAGAAAAGAGATAAATAAAAGCAAAAGTTTATAGTTCTTTGAAGTTTAAGCGGTTCACTCAGTCTGGGCCAGAAACAAGATGTAGTTATCGCATACAAATATATATATATATATATATATATATATATATATATATATATATATATATTAAATAGTGGATGCTGTCGATCCGACAGTTAACTTGAAAAAAACAATATGAAAAATCAGAAACTTGTGTAAACTACGTAAAATAACTGAAAATGGTTGTTTTTGATTTTTTTTACGACTTATCAACCCCATTGTGGGTTATTATTCAAAGCTGAAATATGGTTTGGATTGTAGAAGATTATAGTACCGCGTGTATCCAAGTGGCTTCTCCTCTAAGTACTGACCGGGCTCGACGTTCTTTAACTTTCAATAACTGGAAAAAAAAATAACATGGAACATGGATTCAGCAGTTGTGCCCATCGTTTATTGAATACTTGCATTAGCAACCAAGAACTGAGAAAATTTTTTATAAAAACGGTAATTTCGTTGGAAAAGTGAAATATTCCAGTATCTGTCTATATTTCTAAGATGAGGTATTATGCACACTATTTACATTATTCGGACTATTGTCCTCATCTTTGTCGCCATGTTTATCTCAACGTTTCGGCCGTTGTACGTTCCGGCCTTCTTCAGGTGGTTCAAGGTCGAATTTACTGTGTTTGAACTTCAATGAATCTCTCACGTACATTCATATCTGCTTATGGCTTATCAAATGTAAACAAATGACGTCACACATTATGAAATGAACAATTATTTTAGCTTTTACGCTTTTTTAAGCTTTTACTGAGAGAAAAAACAAGAACAACATCTATTCCATACCTGAAGATGTCTGTAGGAACAGACGAAAGCTTGTAGTAAAAATAAGAACTAATGCAAGAGAAATTTATAAAAACAAGGATCTTTCATTCATAACAGGTTCGGGGTTTTGTATATTATTTGAATTGTTTGCGACGATGGATTTCTCGCCAATTAAATCATTAACCTTTGTATTTGTTTTTGTATGAATAATTCATGAATTTGTAAATTGATTGCACCTTTATTGAAAATATATATATATATATATATATATATATATATATATATATATATATTAATTTTTTATTACAAAATTGTCCAAATCGCATAACAGCATGGGGTAATTGTCTATCCCACAAAATGTTTAATATCTAAAAAAAGACACTAAACTGAGTATCTTTTTTTTAAGATTTTCAGATCAGACGTAAGCTATCTTGACACCATTTGTCATAAGAATCAGTGAAAAACACTTTGAGTTATTCAGCTAGAAAGAGAACAGGTTAAAATCATTTTTGGCATTCCCACTATGTCTTCCAAACTGAGCAATGGTGCGAAGAAAAAGATCATTCAGGCCTTGAGTAATGGTATCAACATTCATACTCTGGCTTCCATCTTAAAAGTCCATTCAAGAACCATCAAGAAAACAGTGACTAAGTTTTTAAAAAATTTGTTTTTGCTGTTATGAAGCCCTGGTCTAGTTTTCCTCTACTGTTGTAGAGGAAAACCGGATCAGGAGGTCACAACAGGAAGAGGGATCATCGTTTCAGTTTAGAGCGAAAATATATTCTTATTGTTCAAGGGAGAGTCGCATAGTGTTATAAAAATCTCGGAGAATTCCAGTAAGATATGTTTAATCATTTCTAAGATACAATGGTTCAAAGCTTAATCTAACACTGGGACAAGTTTGCTGTTACATGATTTGGATATATAGATATGATTTTTTAGATACGGCCGCGCAAATAATACAGCACCACAAATACAGATCGAAGAAGACCAAGATCCTCTCGGACGCCTGACCACGAAGAACACATTCTACAGGCGATCAGAAAACGTCAAGTGGCCCTAGCTTGTCGTACATCTTATAGTACCGTATGGAGGGTACTTCAAGAGCAGCTCCTGAATCCGCATCATTTACAACATGTGCAGGTCCTTCACCCTCCGATCACTCAGTACGGGAGAACTTTTGCAGATGGTTTATTTCACAAACTGCCGATCCATTGTT